ACGACTATGTAGTAAGATGGTGACTTTATAACGATGCCATGTCCTAGTGTCGAATCCGTTTGGTAGTAATGAAGAGACCTGCGCGAGACCAATAGTGTGGTCCACTATGGATGGCATACACACTCGAAAGTAATTTTAGACTAAATGAGATAGTATTATGGGATGACCTAAATATTTTAGTTCATAAATCACTATAGGATACCTAGGAAGAACTAATTTGTGGTGTATTTCTCATTGATGGCCTATATTTGCTATCCTCAGAATCGCTCATAAAAGGGCCTTATGACTTCCTCACTTTTCGAGACAGATGCAGTATATATGAGCTCACAAATAAATAAATACTATCAGTTTCATTCTCAATTATCTACACAGGAAATTGTTAATCGTATTTGACTTTATCCTTAATCCCCTTCGCGACTTCGCTCTCCCAATCTCACTTACACAAATATCAAGAAAAAAATTTAAAATCTTTTGTGACCTTGAGCTATTAGTCGTAATCTGTGACTTTCAAAAGCTTCATTAATAAACATACTATTGCTAGGCATGAATGAAGAGATTCGAAAACGGTGGCTAGTTCACATTGTATGGTAACCGCTTTGCTATACTACCATGTTCAGAATGACGCAGTCCACGAGACATCCTCCTTCGTTTCGGATGATAACGCGCTGAGCTTATGTCTATCATATAATGGACATCATCAGGGCTGGAACTAATTCTTTTAAAAATCTCAAATTAAGAATATTTTAAGAAGACTATCAGGCTTTATCTTACCTCTTATATAGACTCAAGTAAGCTGAATAAAATTAATAGGCATAAATAGATATAGAATGGTTTGGCCAATTATCTTTCGTATTGGTCCTGTTACTTTTGCTCGAGTGTGCGCGTGTATTAACGCGTATACGTAATTGTGGTCCTAAATCAGAGTGAACAAAAAGCTAATGTCAGGCTTTTGTGATCAAAGATTAATGATGTAAGAAAAAGCCCAAACCAAGACTGCATAAGTCCGTAAGCAATTATGGTCAGATTATTAAACCACCTACTCCAAGCTATTAGTCTAAGATCATTAAGATGTGACAACCAAAGGAAAGGCATGACTAGGGAAACGCATCTTGTCCAAAGACCATAATATGCATAGTATTTTTCTGTGATGGACCGTCGACTTTATACATTCTCAAACGTTTCGCCAGCATCGTAGTCGGTCTTGTTTGTGAACCTTGTCATGCTTAGCACCACAACACAACTTAACTTGTCTCTTTAACAATATGTGGTGACGTTC